GGTGAGCAGTACTTTTGGAGCTGCACCGAATGGCAGATGATCTGGAAGCTAGTGCTGCACCGCTCACCCTAGCCACAGCACATGCCTCGTTGGCGCAGTTAGGCAGCGTGTCAGTCTCATAATCTGAAGGTCGTGAGTTCGAGCCTCACACGGGGCAGAGTGGTGCTTTTTGATACACGGGAGAGTGTAAATGAAAGATCTGCTTTCTGCATTCCCTTTTGTGCGTTTGTCCAGTCCTACATATGCAATGTAATTGAGGTCCAGTGTTTTTGTAGGACTAATGTTGAACAAATGCAGTAATAGTATTACTCTCATATTCATGTAATATGCGTCAGTGTTGTTACAATGTTTTGTTGAGGCTAATATAATTATTTCGTTCCAATGACATGTCTTGTCAATGTTAATGTAATGTTTTGCATGACATTCCTTGAATCTTATGCCATGACACTCCACCCCATGCCCCCAAAACCCATGACATTCAATTCCAAGAAATTTCCAAGAATCCTTGCCATGAAACTCTACTGCATCCCCAAAACTTCAGACCATGACATCACAGTCAGACTCCAAGAATCACATCGCATACTCCCCCTAAAAAGAAAAAAAAAGAAGACATGAACAGCCTTTCATAAACAAGTTCTTCTTCCGGTAAACATCAGAACGTGGTATTCTTTGAAATTCTGTTGGATCCCATTCTATAAACATGTCCAATTTCATGAAATGTCACGACTTGAAATTCCAAGAAAACTGCACGAAAATGCCACCGAATCCCATACATCGCACTAAAGTGTTACTTTAAAGTCCATGTAATGCAGGTCAGTGTTACTGTAATGTTTGGTTAACTCTAGCATGAACTGAAATGCAGTGCTTTGTCAACATGAATGCATTTCTGGGTAAACTTGCCAGAGGGTTAAAGACTCTAGCTTGAGCCCGCAGCCAAAGGTTAGGTTTGTCAGAAGTGGGATTCGAACCCACGCCTCCAGGGGAGACTGCGACCTGAACGCAGCGCCTTAGACCGCTCGGCCATCCTGACGTGATGGCTGAGGGTGAGCAGTACTTTTGGAGCTGCACCGAATGGCAGATGATCTGGAAGCTAGTGCTGCACCGCTCACCCTAGCCACAGCACATGCCTCGTTGGCGCAGTTAGGCAGCGCGTCAGTCTCATAATCTGAAGGTCGTGAGTTCGAGCCTCACACGGGGCAGAGTGGTGCTTTTTGATACACGGGAGAGTGTAAATGAAAGATCTGCTTTCTGCATTCCCTTTTGTGCGTTTGTCCAGTCCTACATATGCAATGTAATTGAGGTCCAGTGTTTTTGTAGGACTAATGTTGAACAAATGCAGTAATAGTATTACTCTCATATTCATGTAATATGCGTCAGTGTTGTTACAATGTTTTGTTGAGGCTGATATAATTCTTTCGTTCCAATGACATGTCTTGTCAATGTTAATGTAATGTTTTGCATGACATTCCTTGAATCTTATGCCATGACACTCCACCCCATGCCCCCAAAACCCATGACATTCAATTCCAAGAAATTTCCAAGAATCCTTGCAATGAAACTCTACTGCATCCCCAAAACTTCAGACCATGACATCACAGTCAGACTCCAAGAATCACATGGCATACTCCCCCTAAAAAGAAAAAAAAAGAAGACATGAACAGCCTTTCATAAACAAGTTCTTCTTCCGGTAAACATCAGAACGTGGTATTCTTTGAAATTCTGTTGGATCCCATTCTATAAACATGTCCAATTTCATGAAATGTCACGACTTGAAATTCCAAGAAAACTGCACGAAAATGCCACCGAATCCCATACATCGCACTAAAGTGTTACTTTAAAGTCCATGTAATGCAGGTCAGTGTTACTGTAATGTTTGGTTAACTCTAGCATGAACTGAAATGCAGTGCTTTGTCAACATGAATGCATTTCTGGGTAAACTTGCCAGAGGGTTAAAGACTCTAGCTTGAGCCCGCAGCCAAAGGTTAGGTTTGTCAGAAGTGGGATTCGAACCCACGCCTCCAGGGGAGACTGCGACCTGAACGCAGCGCCTTAGACCGCTCGGCCATCCTGACGTGATGGCTGAGGGTGAGCAGTACTTTTGCAGCTGCACCGAATGGCAGATGATCTGGAAGCTAGTGCTGCACCGCTCACCCTAGCCACAGCACATGCCTCGTTGGCGCAGTTAGGCAGCGCGTCAGTCTCATAATCTGAAGGTCGTGAGTTCGAGCCTCACACGGGGCAGAGTGGTGCTTTTTGATACACGGGAGAGTGTAAAAGAAAGAGCTGCTTTCTGCATTCCCTTTTGTGCGTTTGTCCAGTCCCTTATATGCAATGTAATTGAGGTCCAGTGTTTTTGTAGGACTAATGTTGAACAAATGCAGTAATAGTTTTACTCTCATATTCATGTAATATGCGTCAGTGTTGTTACAATGTTTTGGTGAGGCTAATATAATTCTTTCGTTCCAATGACATGTCTTGTCAATGCTAATGCAATGTTTTGCATGACATTCCTTGAATCTTATGCCATGACACTCCACCCCATGCCCCCAAAACCCATGACATTCAATTCCAAGAAATTTCCAAGAATCCTTGCCATGAAACTCTACTGCATCCCCAAAACTTCAGACCATGACATCACAGTCAGACTCCAAGAATCACATCGCATACTCCCCCTAAAAAGAAAAAAAAAGAAGACATGAACAGCCTTTCATAAACAAGTTCTTCTTCCGGTAAACATCAGAACGTGGTATTCTTTGAAATTCTGTTGGATCCCATTCTATAAACATGTCCAATTTCATGAAATGTCACGACTTGAAATTCCAAGAAAACTGCACGAAAATGCCACCGAATCCCATACATCGCACTAAAGTGTTACTTTAAAGTCCATGTAATGCAGGTCAGTGTTACTGTAATGTTTGGTTAACTCTAGCATGAACTGAAATGCAGTGCTTTGTCAACATGAATGCATTTCTGGGTAAACTTGCCAGAGGGTTAAAGACTCTAGCTTGAGCCCGCAGCCAAAGGTTAGGTTTGTCAGAAGTGGGATTCGAACCCACGCCTCCAGGGGAGACTGCGACCTGAACGCAGCGCCTTAGACCGCTCGGCCATCCTGACGTGATGGCTGAGGGTGAGCAGTACTTTTGCAGCTGCACCGAATGGCAGATGATCTGGAAGCTAGTGCTGCACCGCTCACCCTAGCCACAGCACATGCCTCGTTGGCGCAGTTAGGCAGCGCGTCAGTCTCATAATCTGAAGGTCGTGAGTTCGAGCCTCACACGGGGCAGAGTGGTGCTTTTTGATACACGGGAGAGTGTAAAAGAAAGAGCTGCTTTCTGCATTCCCTTTTGTGCGTTTGTCCAGTCCTTCATATGCAATGTAATTGAGGTCCAGTGTTTTTGTAGGACTAATGTTGAACAAATGCAGTAATAGTATTACTCTCATATTCATGTAATATGCGTCAGTGTTGTTACAATGTTTTGTTGAGGCTAATATAATTCTTTCGTTCCAATGACATGTCTTGTCAATGCTAATGCAATGTTTTGCATGACATTCCTTGAATCTTATGCCATGACACTCCACCCCATGCCCCCAAAACCCATGACATTCAATTCCAAGAAATTTCCAAGAATCCTTGCCATGAAACTCTACTGCATCCCCAAAACTTCAGACCATGACATCACAGTCAGACTCCAAGAATCACATCGCATACTCCCCCTAAAAAGAAAAAAAAAGAAGACATGAACAGCCTTTCATAAACAAGTTCTTCTTCCGGTAAACATCAGAACGTGGTATTCTTTGAAATTCTGTTGGATCCCATTCTATAAACATGTCCAATTTCATGAAATGTCACGACTTGAAATTCCAAGAAACTGCACGAAAATGCCACCGAATCCCATACATTGCACTAAAGTGTTACTTTAAAGTCCATGTAATGCAGGTCAGTGTTACTGTAATGTTTGGTTAACTCTAGCATGAACTGAAATGCAGTGCTTTGTCAACATGAATGCATTTCTGGGTAAACTTGCCAGAGGGTTAAAGACTCTAGCTTGAGCCCGCAGCCAAAGGTTAGGTTTGTCAGAAGTGGGATTCGAACCCACGCCTCCAGGGGAGACTGCGACCTGAACGCAGCGCCTTAGACCGCTCGGCCATCCTGACGTGATGGCTGAGGGTGAGCAGTACTTTTGGAGCTGCACCGAATGGCAGATGATCTGGAAGCTAGTGCTGCACCGCTCACCCTAGCCACAGCACATGCCTCGTTGGCGCAGTTAGGCAGCGCGTCAGTCTCATAATCTGAAGGTCGTGAGTTCGAGCCTCACATGGGGCAGAGTGGTGCTTTTTGATACACGGGAGAGTGTAAATGAAAGATCTGCTTTCTGCATTCCCTTTTGTGCGTTTGTCCAGTCCTACATATGCAATGTAATTGAGGTCCAGTGTTTTTGTAGGACTAATGTTGAACAAATGCAGTAATAGTATTACTCTCATATTCATGTAATATGCGTCAGTGTTGTTACAATGTTTTGGTGAGGCTAATATAATTCTTTCGTTCCAATGACATGTCTTGTCAATGCTAATGCAATGTTTTGCATGACATTCCTTGAATCTTATGCCATGACACTCCACCCCATGCCCCCAAAACCCATGACATTCAATTCCAAGAAATTTCCAAGAATCCTTGCCATGAAACTCTACTGCATCCCCAAAACTTCAGACCATGACATCACAGTCAGACTCCAAGAATCACATCGCATACTCCCCCTAAAAAGAAAAAAAAAGAAGACATGAACAGCCTTTCATAAACAAGTTCTTCTTCCGGTAAACATCAGAACGTGGTATTCTTTGAAATTCTGTTGGATCCCATTCTATAAACATGTCCAATTTCATGAAATGTCACGACTTGAAATTCCAAGAAAACTGCACGAAAATGCCACCGAATCCCATACATCGCACTAAAGTGTTACTTTAAAGTCCAGTACTTCAAAGTTACCGTGTGAAATGTTCCTCACTCTTTCTCTCTAATTTTACAGTTTGTATCTCCCCTTCAAAGAACATGAATAAAAATAAATATGACACACGTCATGGAAAATGACAGTAGATTAGTTTGCCATTCCGGTTTAGTTGAAATGCATGTATTGTGTATATGACATGTGTCATAATGTTTACAGATTGAAAAATGTCCGATGCAGTCTCGCGGCCAGACGACCTTGTTCAGAGAGGTCCCAAAGTGCACGTGTGGTTTTCACACTCAAAAGGTAACAATGTGAAGATGTTGCAAGTATTAAAACATAATAATAATAATAATTTACTGAATAAATGTTTCTCGTTCAAAAGTGATTGAAGCTGATGTCTTTTTTGGTTGTCTTAAGCAGGCCACAGTCTCTACTGGACAAGCACCAATGGTTGTGGAGCAACAGTCTGCCGCTACTGGACCAGCACAGGAGGTCATGGAGCAGAGTCAACCTCAGCCTCGACTCCAGCCCCAGCCACGGCCTACTGCATCTGTGACATCTAGGATAATACCAAGTTTGTCAATGGTAATAACATTTTTATTAATACATGTATTATTAATTCAGTCATCATGCATCTACTTTCAAGTATAACCTTAATTACTGTTAATAAACACTTTATCTTACAAGCTATGTGCAAACTAGTTTTGAATCAATGTCATTTTTAAAAGGTACCTGTTGAATTACAATAATACTCACATTCTAGCAATGTCTTCCCACTCATTTTTCTATTCTAACTGTGCTTGCTTCAATCTATATAAGTAGCAGAGGGTTGTAATATGAACAAATGTACAGCAAGAAAGCAGTTAATTTAGTTATATGAAATATTGAAACAACAGATATTTTCTCATTTACCAAAAATGTAATTATATTTTCTGCCACTGTGCTGTTACAGCTTATTTTGTCATTTAGTTGAAATTGTTTTGCCCTATTTTAGTTTACCAAGCCAAGATTTGGTGGGTCCCACATTTCTGCCGCAAAGCCAAATCTAAGTGTGTCTAGGAGACCATCTCAGGTTGATGACCAACCCAGCACAGCAGTGTCCAGTGCCCCTACACCAAGCACCACTGTCTCTGTAAGTACTGGCATAATCCACATTGCATTCTATGAATACACATTCCACTCCTGTGCACACATATCTTGTATTCCAGGAAATCTTACAATAATGAAGTAATAACAGTACTATATACTCTTTGAATTAAATAGATTTTATGTACAGTACTGTTCAAAAGTTTGTGTGTTCAGTAAATTGAGACTTTTTTTCAGCAATGACACATTAATAAATACATTTGAAAATACATTAAAATAAGCAGCAATATTATTTCCCAGTATAACTGTTTTTGACTGTATTTTAATCTTCTTTCAAAAACATAAAATAAACTTACTGACCCCAGACTTTTGAACAGCATTGTATAATTCCATCCAGGATGAGTTACAATTATTGGACAGGTATGTTTGACTGTTTCTCTTGTTATATATACAAAATCTATTATATTTCACTGCATGATTTTACAGACACAAGATCCTGGAGTTCCAGCCTCTGTCCCCAGAACCACTGCAGATGTGACCAGTCCTGAGTCTTGCGGTATTGTCTCGGTAAGCAATTTCAAATTCTATTGGTCTAAAATAATTTATTTTGCATATTAACTGTCACAACTCACTAGAGTCGCACAAAATAGCGCTAGCAGCTGACACAATTCTGAAAACATTTGGAACAAATGTACCAATTATATTCTATTACCTTAAGTACGTAATTGACATCCAATATTTTCTATTTTATGTGAGGGTAGACTTGGATAGATAAAGCGCTAATTAAATAAATGACCTGCTAGACTAAATGTTTTTTTCTTTTTCCTTCACAGACTGCTCCTTCCGGGGCGTCATTGCAAGCTCCATCTGCAGTTCGACTGCATCGTTTGTGGTCGGAGACCTTGCCGCCAGAGGACCACAGGTGGATTGCCAGCAGGCTTTTTAAAATGGGGCCCAAGGGAAAACCAGAGCTTCGAGACAACCTACAGCTCTGGTATTACCCACCACAGCCAGCACTTATTTATAACCAGGCTCCAGCTCCAGACAGATTTTTTTGTCATGCTCTGTTGCTGTGGATGCCGTACAAGCTGTGGAAGATCAAGGCTGTCTGTCCCAATTCTGCTTGCGGGCAGCATCAGCTAACAGGAGGCGGTCTGCACAAAAGGGCACGGCAGGTTCTGGACATCGATAGGATGTACAACATGGTCACAGAAACCCTCATCTGTACCAAATGTAAAGCCTCGCATGTGTCCTGGAGTCAGACTGTCCTGCAACAGCTGGATCTGGGTCATCGCTCTGAATTTCGGGTCATCCTCACGCGGAAGTAAGTACACTTTCATTCCACATCCAGTTGATAGACCATCATCACATATATTTGCAAATATTTTACAAATCAAACATGTAAAATATATGAATGTGTGGATTTTGCTTTTCCTAAGGTATGCCTGTGATATGAGAGTCATTCGGCTCCTGCGTGAGCGTGGCCTAGGCAACAGTCCCACGCGGGTCATCAAACAGCTGCGTGAGAACCACAGCGAGGAGTGGCTCCAGCGTATGGCCCGGTACACCACCCAATGTGTGGACTTCCTCAAACGACCCGGGGTGTTGCAAATACCATTCCAGGAACCCCCAGAGCCTACAGTGGTGCCAAGCTGCAAGTGGCTGCTCACCGTGTACAGCCAAGACATCCTGACAAGACTGGATGAAATCCATGCAAGGATAACATCCACGTATGGTTCAGTCTTGAAAATGGATTCCACTAAAAAGGTTAGCAGGGGATTTTTGTTCATTTATGGTGTTTACTGTTATATCATTATCAGAGCATGAGTATCATATTCTACATGGTGTGATGTTTCATTACATTGCATGCTTCCTGTCATCTACTGCAGATCACTAAGAAGCTGGCTGGGACGGCAAGGGGAACGGGACTCTGGCTTACCTCTGTTGGCAATGAGTTTGGTCAGGTGCTCATGAGTGTGCTGACAGCACAGGAAGGAGCAGGACTGGACATGATGGTCGATGGTCTGGTGAAGAGGTACCAGCAGGCTAGTGTGGATCCACCTGCTGTTTTGTATGTGGACTGTGGCTGCTGCACTGATGTGGGTGAGACCAAGCTGAAAACCAGATTCAGAGGTTGGCCTGATCTCATGATTCGCTTGGACATCTGGCATTTTATGCGCAGGATTGCCGTGGGGTGTACAACTGATGCCCATCAGCTGTATCCCATCTTCATGTCACAGCTGTCAGCGTGCATTTTTGAGTGGGATGCGGCTGATGTTTCTATGCTTCGCAAAGCAAAGAGAGAGCTGTTGTTATCCCAGGGTTGGCCTGCGCTGACAGATGAAGATGTCAACAAGCATCTTACCAGGGATGAGCTGGCACTCCATTGCCGGAGGAGGACCTGTGGAGAGGAGACTACCATCCTTCTCCTTGAGCGGCTGCTCACAGAGCTCCTGAGCAGCAAGGGCAAAGACTCCCTGGGTGTTCCTCTCCTGGACCGAGAAAGGATGGAGCACATCTGGAATGTCCAGAAGAAGCATGTGAAATGCATTCAAGACCCCCCTGGTGTTGTGCTCTATACAGAGACAGGGAGTCTAAACAAGGGAGGCGTTCTTCTGAAGACCTACAGATGTGCCAGAGGCTCCACTTCTCTCGAGTCCTTTCATTTACACCTAAACCGTTTCATCCCAGGTATTGTCTTTGTCACACACACTGTGCATGTGTAAAGAAAGAGCATTAAGTGTTTTGTATGTTTCTTTAACACCCCCTAAACACTGTTGTGTCTATTTACAGGGACCAGTGCAAACAGTCTGAACTTTCAGATTTATCTGCTGGAGGGTCTACACCGGTGGAACCAGGACCGGGAGGCTGTTTCCCTGTCATCGGAGCCATCAGCTTTGCGCAGCTACACAGGAGAACTTGTTCACTGTGTAAACGGCAATTATGAAAAGCTGTTTGGCAGGAAAGTGGTCCCCACGTTTTGTCCCCCTGCATGTTACACCGGTGAGAATTATTGTATATATTTTTTATTTTATCAACTTGCAATTTCTGTGTAACCTCCGTCTATATGTCAGATTTAATCCTATAGAGTCGATTGTATCATAATTGATATGCAAGTTTCTAAAGGCCTCTAAATGATCAACATGGTCAAAACTTTTCAGGAAACATGGCCTCTGTCGTCTGATTGATTATAGTCTTTTAATATAATTGTAAAAGTGTCCACCTTCAGCTCGTGCTTCACGTTTCTTTTCACTGTGAAACCTTTACTGATTTTTATAAAGTAATTGTAAGAATAACTTTTATATTGTTAGTAATATGTAATGACTGTAATATGTAATAAATATGTAATGACAGCTTGGGTTCACTTGATTAGAAAACCATGTTACATGTAAATATCAAAATTATCATCAGACTTTTCTCTCAGTCACCATTGTATTGCATTTCATTTCATGTTTTGCCCCCATAATTAAACGTGTTGGGCCTCTGAATAAAACAGTTTTTTTTTTCTCCTTGACGATGAGCTCTATATTCTCACACTATATGAGCTAGCCTACTACAAAAGCCTAATGTATCAAATATGATACACAACATTCTATTTAATTTCTGTTTGTTTATTGTTTTTATTTCAGGTGAGCTCATTGGAGTGCAGTATCTGTTCCAGCAGACTGGTCAGGCACTGCAGGACATGAATCCTGACTCTGAGCAGACAGCAGAGCTCATTGAGGACCTCAGTGTGGAGGAGCGAGATGAAGATGAGGGCTTCTGTGACATCAGCGAGGATCACACAATAGCAGATCCGGAGGCTGTTCTGTCACCGCCCTCTTCCACACTGACACTGGGTTCTTCCACCCTGGTCACCAGCAGTGCCACACCTGTACTGGGCTCCACATCCCCTCCACTGGTCCCTGACCCCAAACTTGGCCTCACACAGTCTCCTTCATCACCTGGACCCTCAGGGACTGCCGTCACACCTGTTCCCTCTGAAACATCTGTTTCAACTCTCCCCTCAGATCCAGAGGATGCTGGTCAGGATGATGGTGAAGAAGAGACGGTAAATACCAGTCCTTTGCATGTCTTTCAAATTAACTAGAATAATTATGATGAATTAACATCCAGTGCTTTAAATACAGACTTTCCACATATTTTAAATGTAAAAGTACAGCCTAAATTCATTTGTAAGCTGCAAATACACATCAAGTCAAGTCATCTTTATTTATTTGGTGCTTTGTAAAGAACATGTTAAGAAAATGTCAAGAATGGGGCTCTCTGCTTTGTACTATACAGTGCTTTACGGTGATAAACAGGAAAATAACACAATCAGTTATGGAATTATGCATTAGACAGATGTGATGTAATAATTGTATTGCGTGTTTGTGTTTTTTAATAGGCTGTTGACTACCAAAATGTCCCGGGTTATCAACATGTGGACCAGCTGGCAGAATATCTGGTGGATCTCCGGGCCCACACAGCCCTCAGCCTGACCAACCAGGAAGCCAACACCATTATTGCTCTTTGGCAGAACCTGGATGACCGGGACAAGGAACGGGTGGTGTATGACAGTCGATGCCGAAAGAGACTGCTGAGTGGACGCTTCAAAGTCCCGAAGAGGCCCACTCACCCTGGTGTCGAGAGCACCACCAGATGTGTGCTGGGTGCAAGCAGCTCACCTGCTCAGTGGCCTGACTGTTGCCGTCTGGTGGAGACCATCTTCATCAGACTTTGCACTGTCCACCCAAGCCCTAAAAGAAAAGGCAAGGGAGCCCTGTCAAGATGGTCTCTGATCCTGCAAGACTATCGCAGGATAAGGCAGCTTGTACTGGGCAACAGCTTGGTGATGGGAGGAACATCGATGCAGCTGGTGGAGGTTAACCAGAATACCCTGATTCAGTGGTATAACAGAAGACAGAAAAAGCAGGAGCTGTCTGTGCTGCTTCAGGGTATTCAGTTGCCTCAGCCCCTCCCTGAAGCTCCAGAGCCTCTCCAGGTTGCCAAACGTCTACGGACTGAGCCAGAACAACCAGGGGAGCAGCACCAGTACAAGCTACCAGAGAGCACAGCTGGTCAGGCAAAGCAGAGGCAGACTTCTGTTGGGCGACCCCCTCTCAGACCCAAGGCACCAGCGCAGAGTCAGATGTTGCTGACACCATCAGCACCTGGAGCATCACTGCAGATGGTCCCAAATATACTCATACCATCAGCACCAGGTTTCCAGGGTGTGCCAATGTTTCAGGGTGTGCCAATGATCCAGGGAGTTCAAATGATCCAGGGCATCCCAATGGTCCAGGGGATGCAAATGATACAGCCACTGTTACAGCCAACAGCTGTACAGGGCAGTCGCTTACCCGCTGCACCAGCTGCCAATCCAGGCGCCATGCCCAAGAGACCCTACAGGAGAACAGTTGCGGCCAACACTTGCAAAAAATGTGGGCAATATAAAACAAGTGCAACAGGTCATAGCCAGTACAGGGGCAGGGTGTACTGCCCACAGACTGAGACTGTTACAAAAGAGGTGTGGTTAGAGGAAATGCGCAGAACCATTCCCAAATAATGTATATATTTTCATGTACAGTATATAGCATCATGTATATAGTGTGAACAGTTGTTTAAATAGTTAATACTTGTGTTGTATATTATTTAATTTTGTTTTTTTAACGTTATTTAACATTTTAACTTTTTATTTCTTGTTTTTGAAAACCTATTTAACTTTTCATTTTATTTATTTATTTTTAAAACATGTTACCAGTATTTAACATATTAATATTCATTACTGTTCTGTTGGCATGATTGGAAAATAAAAACAAATTGGCAAGTGATTTCTTTTTGACTTTCATATATCACTAGTTCATCAGTACACTGCAACAATATAACATTTGTATATAAAAAGATAATTTGTACATTTTGTTATTCTTGTGATTGACATTTTCAGCATATTAGTAACTATTTAATGGGTTGCATTTTGTTCATTACAAATAACAGTTTTGCAAGTTTCTTGTTTGAATGTAACCTAAAAAAATGCTTAATTAGATCAATAATAATACAACAACTACTAAATAATATCACTTTTTATTGGCAATTATATATTTTTATAAAAGAATATAAAAAAAACACAAACAAATTACATATGTATATTTTATTAACACTGGAAAAGTATGCATTAAAAAATTAGCTTATTTTCTTTTACTTTATTATAACAGAATGTGCTCATTTACTTTCATATAACACAATATTTCATCAGTACACTGCACCAATATAACATTTGTATTTAAAAAGATAATTTGTACATTTTGTTATTCTTGTGACAGACATTCTTCATATTAGTTACTATTTAATGATTTGCATCTTTCTTCATTGCATAATAATGCAAATAACATTATTTTTCATGATAGAATATCAAAAAACACAACAAACAAATTAAATATGTATATTTTATTAACACTGGAACAGTATGCATTCAAAAATATTGATTATTTATTCTGGAACAGTATGCATTCAAAAATATTGATTATTTATTCAAATAATACATATGACAAAAAGTTGTCTTTAGCTGGATTCGAACCCCGGTCTTGGTGAACACCTGCAATAGAAAACAGTGTAATATAAATGCGTGATTTTCACACACGAAGAAACCGGAAAATGTATCATAAGACCTATGCTAATGAAGGTATATCTTTGAACATCAAATTTCAGCCTTTCTTTTCTTCATTTTTTCTTTCTCTTCTTCCCCCTCTCTTTTTCTTCCTTCCCCCTTTTCTTCCCTTCTTCCCCACCTTTGTTGGACTATTGTTCCCCAGCTTGAACGCAGCGCCTTAGACCGCTCGGCCATCCTGACGTGATGGCTGAGGGTGAGCAGTACTTTTGCAGCTGCACCGAATGGCAGATGATCTGGAAGCTAGTGCTGCACTGCTCACCCTAGCCACAGCACATGCCTCGTTGGCGCAGTTAGGCAGCGCGTCAGTCTCATAATCTGAAGGTCGTGAGTTCGAGCCTCACACGGGGCAGAGTGGTGCTTTTTGATACACGGGAGAGTGTAAATGAAAGATCTGCTTTCTGCATTCCCTTTTGTGCGTTTGTCCAGTCCTACATATGCAATGTAATTGAGGTCCAGTGTTTTTGTAGGACTAATGTTGAACAAATGCAGTAATAGTATTACTCTCATATTCATGTAATATGCGTCAGTGTTGTTACAATGTTTTGGTGAGGCTAATATAATTCTTTCGTTCCAATGACATGTCTTGTCAATGCTAATGCAATGTTTTGCATGACATTCCTTGAATCTTATGCCATGACACTCCACCCCATGCCCCCAAAACCCATGACATTCAATTCCAAGAAATTTCCAAGAATCCTTGCCATGAAGCTCTACTGCATCCCCAAAACTTCAGACCATGACATCACAGTCAGACTCCAAGAATCACATCGCATACTCCCCCTAAAAAGAAAAAAAAAGAAGACATGAACAGCCTTTCATAAACAAGTTCTTCTTCCGGTAAACATCAGAACGTGGTATTCTTTGAAATTCTGTTGGATCCCATTCTATAAACATGTCCAATTTCATGAAATGTCACGACTTGAAATTCCAAGAAAACAGCACGAAAATGCCACCGAATCCCATACATCGCACTAAAGTGTTACTTTAAAGTCCATGTAATGCAGGTCAGTGTTACTGTAATGTTTGGTTAACTCTAGCATGAACTGAAATGCAGTGCTTTGTCAACATGAATGCATT